AAATGCAACATCAGGGCCAAGTGATCCCTATGCAGAAGTTAGATGCGTGTGCCATGGTATGACTGATGAAAGTCTTCTACTGCTTTGCGATCTCTGTGATTCCGCTGCCCATACGTATTGTGTTGGCTTGGGGGCAACCGTACCCGACGGTGACTGGTTTTGTCATGATTGTGCTCTTTCTAGGTCCGAACATGACAAAACCGAAGTTGATACTGAAACCGATGATCAAATGTTCTATGCTAACTGTAATGTAAAATTGCCATCTGAGATGGATGTTTCGATTTTTTATATAGTTCGAGAATCAAATATGCCTGGGTTCAGTGGACATAATGTGTGTGTTTCGTCATGTTCTAATTATTCGCCTCCTGGTATAATTCCTGGAAGGGAAAGCAGTGGGGGCAGATGAAGCAAGTCATCCTAGTAGGAATACTGTGGGTAATTCAACCGAACCAGTTGCAAGAACATTGCGCCATATACGTAGCCGGGTACAAGTTCTTCGTGAAAACTGGTGTTCACTGCAAAACGGATCTTTGAGTTTCTCTTCTGGTGTGGCTGAACCGGGTGTTGGAGGTCGTGGGAAAGATAAGGTTGCTGCAGTGTTTCATCATGGATCAAATGAATCGCAATCATCGACTTCAACAAGTCAACAATCAACTTCTCGAGACAATTCTATTCTGCCGAAGGAAGATTTGTATGATATTGATAAGGCATGGAAAATGATGAATATTGCAAAGCCAATGCAAAAGAATTGTAAGACAACTAGTAGTCCTAACCAGAACTCAACAAAACTCCCTTGCCTCGGAAGTACTTCGAAAGAGGCAATCGGCAGTACAGGTCTTCATATATCTAAAGTGCAGCAGAATGAAACTAGGAATGAGGAAAGAACAGGAAAACAGAAGCAGTAAGGGTATCAATATCGTGAGAGGGAACAGGGAAAGCAAAAATCTCCAGATATGGAAAAGCAAAAGAGGATAGTTATGAATATTGGACCAAGTGATAATGTTCTTCTTCTCGTTCACCTCGATTTCTCCAACCTTTGTCATCTGCAAAGGTTCAATTTCAGAATGGTTGCTGTCGTGTAAATGATGCTGGGCCATTTGTGAAAAATACGCAAAGTAGATGTCGAGAATCATCATCTTCGATAAACACAGAGGGCAGATCTGGTTCAAGTAGCCTGGTTGGTTCAGTTTAAGAGGATCTACAAATCCATTGGATTCGAACTTGGAGGTGCGTAAATAAATTAGATATACCGGAGAGGAGAACAGGTTGGACCAGAGTTGTTCCAAAAGCAAGGATAAAAATTATGATAATGTCAAAAGTGAGATCCAAGCCCTTGTTAAACTTAATTTAAAGCTCCTAAGCGAAGACAAACGATTAGGTATGATTACTGACTTCAAACTGTATTATCTAAAGTTTTTTAACACTCTGCGCGAAAGATAGATATTTGATTTTTGCATTGCCCTTATGAAATCATGTTTATCACGTCTTAGCCGTTTTTTGGTTTAATCAAATGTATTACGCATTGTGTCTGCAGGAGTTGATGCATTCAGAGAGATTGCTAGGAATGCCACCCATACAATCTTGGCAGCATGCGGTTTCCAGCACTCAAAATCCTGTGTCCACTCTTTTCCGAGCCCGGTATGTAGCCATACCGATGATTTTAAACTGCAACATAAGTCTACTTTGATACCGAATCCTTGCCGAGAGTGTTTTTATGTTTTCGTAAAAAATGTTGTTCGATCATTATGGTTGAGAAGGGTCAGGGTAGATCATCATAACCTAGCCGTATGTTACTCGCGTATCTAAATGGGATATATTGTTTATCGTACCACATCCATTCAAAAGCCGAGTCTGCTATCATCGAACTGCTCGTAATTTCCCCGTATAACAAATGTGTGTCGTTCTTGGTAACTAATTGATCGACTCTAATTATTTCGAAGAACCGAGTTCGGAATCATGTAGATAAAGTAGCAAAGTAGAATGGCTTGTTTTATTTCACGCCATATCCAAGCTCTTACTTACCGACTGTAGTTATTGGTGACATGAATGATTGGGAATGTTTTAGCTGAAACTCAAATACACTCTGATCCAGAGTATCCTACTCAAAGCTGACATGGTGCCCCAAGCATCTGTCTCCGTCCAATCATTCGAGACCTTAAAGCCGGGGTGAAGGAGCTCGTTGAACTTTACAATGAAGAGATTTCCATTCCTCGTTCATGTCAGCAAACTTCATGAAGGTCGGAAGCCGTTCATTTGCAGTTCTTCTCATCCTAGATGAGTCGCCTGCAATACAAGTCGTTTCAGGTTTTAGAACATGGCAGTGCAAACCTTTCAGACTCGAGTTGTCTTCGCACCTACCTGGAACCCTGGCCCTAAGAGGCCCTTCATCCACTCGGACTTCAATACTCGGTAGTCTGCACAAAGACACGTCGCGTCCTAGCAGGATTCGATTTTCCATTGCCATGGTACTGCCCTTTGCATAAGGGCAGAGTTGAGAGAGATAGCAAAATCAATGTTTGCAGTTTGCTGACGATTTCATCACCGGTAACAATTGATCATCAAACTTCAAATATTCTAATTAAATTTTAGAACAGTCCATATCATTTCAACCAATATACTTAAACCATTAAAATTTAATTATTAAACTTAAAAGTAGTTTCATTCCAATCTCTCTGGTTTGAGCGTAGGGCTGTAAATGAGACGAGACAGATCACGAGCTACTCGAGATTGACTCGATCAAGGCTCGAAATACTCGGATCGAATGGACTCGACTCGAGTTATTAACGAGCTACTCGATATTCGATTCGAAAAGCTCGTGAGCAGCTCAAAAATATAATATATTAAGATTTTATTTTTTTAGAAATAAATTATTAATAATATTAATATTTATGTATTGATTTTTTTATAAAAAAAATACAGTAAGATTTCTTGTATTTAAGTTATGTTTGAGTTTGAGTTTGAGGCTTCAATCGAGTTAAGTTTAATAATTTTTTTCATTTCGAGCCTTTTCGAGCTGCTCACGAGCTTCAGTTTAGGATTTCGAGTTCGAGTCGAGCTTGAAAATTTTATGCTCGCGAGTTTTCGAGTCGAGTCGAGCTTCATTTTAAAGTTTTCGAGTCGAGTCGAGCTCAGCAATACTCGAGCTCGACCCGGCTCGTTTACACCCCTATTTGAGCGTATAACCAAAGTCTTGACCAATGAAGACGACTGTTTACCTTTTGACCAACAATTTGTTCCCGTATTTCTTTGTTTTTCTTTTCATCCGAAAATTTATTGAGTGATATTAGTGGTAAAAATTTAAAGAGTATTATTTTTGGCTTAATGGTAGTTGAGGCTCTTAAATTTTTTCAACCAAAAAAATAATAAAACGGCGACCTTCTAACTATTTTTGCGCTTAATGTAACTCTTAAACTTAGAAGAAAAAAAACCTTTAATGTGATTTTTTGACTAAAATTTTTCATCATTGACTGTTATGGTACTGATGTTATAATTTATAATGTTGATTCATGGTGTAAAATAGATATAGTTTTTTTTTGTTTAACCACTGGTATCCGATATATTGATTAATTAATTCGTATCGAGTACTGTAGAGGTGAAGGTGATTGTTCTAACCTAATTTACTCCATTTATAATCGAATAAATGTCGTTTTAAATTTTTAAAAATTCTATAAATTTGGAGAAACTTTGGGAGGACATCAATCATGAATCTTTTGATATTCAACATCATTTTTATCTTTTGTTTATTTTAATTCATGAGGACGTTGGACCTCTGCCTGTCATCGATTCACTCGATTAATTTATTAGTGTACTTATTGATGAATTCAACTGTTAGATTATTAATAGGCGTAAAATTAAGTAGGAGAGCTCTCGTTTATTTGACTTCTAATAGTTCAGCAGTTAAATCTATAATGACAGCCAAAACGTTTATTCAAATGAATCGGTGTACGATTATATAGAAGCGCTGTCGTTTATTTCAGAAATCGTTCAATGAGTTAAACCCAAACCATAGAAATGATCTTTCATTAGTCTTTGGGTTGTATACGGTCGAGTCAGGTTTCGATACTCGATCCAAAAATAATAATATAATTAATTTTTATATTCAGGGATAATTATATAATACTTATATATATATATATATATAATTTTTTTCAATTAAATTCCTATTTTACCTAATAAAAATAATAATTTATATATATATTTGTTTCAGGTCGGGTGCAAATTTTTATACCAAGCATGAGTCGGATGACGGGCAGAGGGATGTTATACACGGGATAGATTCATGTGGGTCAAAATTCAGCTCAACCTGACCCATGAACATTCCTAATTCTATTAGTTTGATTATGCAATACTATAAATCTAAACCTTATGAAACAAACTTTGCCTCTAATTATTGTCCTCTCAAAACTAAAACACAATGGACCACACCAGAGGTAATGAGGCAGCTGAGCCCCACACAAAAATGGGGGAACAAAACATTCACAATGATGAAAAAAAACACCCCAAAAAAATAAAAGGGGAAGCATGGCAGTTGCACTGTGCAATCACTCCTACAGATATTTATGTTTACAGTTTCAACCAATTCACACAACACCTTTAATACGTAAGTGTCATAGTAAACGGAGCCAAAACTCCCCCAATAATGCAGAGGGACATGTTTAACTTGGTTTGATTGGTTAGGATGTCACTTTCTTATGTGAGCTTTTGACTGTCCCAAGAAACAAGACTAAGTCCAACAACCTCAGTAATGGACAAACCAGAATTGACAAATAGCCTAAATTGATAAGAAAGGGGACCATACTCTGACACGAAATGTCGAGTGCCAGCCCTTTAATTTTACACGATAAGTGTAGTGAAGATATTCAATGCTTTCAACCGTTCCTTGCATTAATGAGACAATGCTAGAAACAAGTACAAGCGTGTCTCTGTAGGTTGTGACATAATGAATTCTAGAATGTATACGTGGAAGAATACTAACCAGATCGTACAGCAATCTAAAAAAATGCAAGACAAAAGGGTAAGGGATTAACCTTCCAATCCAGCCTCGATAATCCCAAATTCATACTTGCATCCCTCGTGTACAACACGTTTTGATCTGATATTAACCTATAATCGCGGGGCAGCTCTTCCATACATGATTCTTGTTATTTGCATATATTAAATGTTGTGTCCACTGGTTACTTCACCAGACCCTCTCAGGCTTTCTTCAGGTTCTACAATCTCCAATGATCTACGGAACTCAATCCTAGGAAGAAAAACCTTCATTGTAGTCATACTGTGTAGAGAAACTATCGTTAGGTTTCAAGTATGATGCCCTAGCAGGCTAGAGAAAAGCACTGATACTCATTATGATTCCCAGACAAAAAAGATCATGTGCTACTCAGTTGACCATGTGATGGTTGCAAGCATTCTTCTGGGTTCGCATAGAAGTAATCCTCTTCTTTAGGTTTGTCGGGAATCACCGATCTTCGTGTTGGTTGCCCCTTGCGACTTGCATGAGATTCTTTCACAGCATTTGAGAACTCATTCCAACTTAGGGATCCACTATTGTACTGGTCTATCAGATCAACCAAAAGACTTCTGTCCAATAAAACTGTTTGCTTATATCCCAGAAATCTGAATGAGCATTTAAAAAACCAATTGTTACATTTATGTCAACTAGCTTTAACAATGAAAAAAGATAAAATGCGCTAGAAAAATCAATTGGGAAGAAACAATATGAAAAGCATTTACGAAAGAGAGTAGTTGTAACATTCCTTGGCTCATGTTGCAACCATTGAAATTCAATGAGTGGAAAAAGAAAGAAAAGTTTAGTAGTCAGAACAAGACAAACTATTGTCCTCTTAATGGTGGAGATAAAAATGGAGATAATAGAACGTGAGTGAAGTTCAACTTTCTAAACTATTCATCCCATCTAAAGAAAAAAGAACCACAGAATTATTTTAGTTTTAGCAAGAAATCTTCTGAACATATTAGTACAAAATTATCAGTACATTAAGTACCTGCGATGGCCTTCAACAACTTTAGCCATGTTTCCATCGTATGTAGGAATAAAAATATCACTCTCCAATGAAACAAGATAATCTAAGGCCGCCATCTGGGACGAATGGTTTTGAAAAAACCCAAGGTCTGATGGCTCCAATAGAGTTTCTTTTCTAACCTGTTTTAGCAGAAAAAAGGTCAATTACTGATACCAGAGAAAAGAATTCAAAGATCATTACATTTCATGAATTCATTCCCTGAAATCGAAACCTACCAATCTGGGATAAGCAGCAGCAAGACTTTCCATTCTCCGAGTTCCACCATATATTTCACCAGCTGCAATATAGATTTGAAAACTATTATCAATGTCCAGCGCCCTCAATATGAGGGCAGTTTCCTCGGGTGTCAAAGGGCACAAACCATCTTTCCTTTTCAAGTCAGAATTTATTATCTTTTCTTTCCACCAGGGATAAGCATATCTGCAAAATAAGTTCTAGAGACTGAGATTAAACCTTAAAAAATTAGGCCTGCTGATCATTTAATTGTTAAAGATGCATGTGAAACTCACCTCATTCTTGTCAACTCCTCCACCTCCTCATTGTTGCAACCTTGGGTACAGCCCGAAAATGCCAACATGTCCATTTCATATCTAAGATGAAGTACTATAAAAGGACCGTTTTGCCTCAGAAGCTTAATAACTCTTTTGCCTAAGTCCTCTATCTGAGAAGTGAATCTCAAAGCACTAAAATTTACGCGACATCGCAGCTTCTGAACATCTAAAGGTTGCCCATTGTTGGCAAGTCTAGTATCAGTTCTATTCAAATGTACAACTTTATACTTGTGTATCAGAGGAAGAATCTGCAGTTAACAGAGAACAAACACGCTTCTTTAAGAGGACTCTTGGATGAAGGAAAACAACTGGGAAAGTGTATAACATTCTTGAAAAAGGGAATAAAGAAACAAGTCACATTACACTAAAGTCTAAATTGCTCTAGGTTGTAATGACAATGAATTAACCTGGTTCCGGTAGTAGGATATATGAGACCAGCTAATTGGTGGCATGGAATACACCATCCCCATTTGGACTTTCCTCTTAAGCCTTGGAGGCAGCTCCTTCAATATACGAACCTCATCTCTCAATGATGTAATAAAATGACGGACATCAAATATATCTTGAAATTCACTGCCATTTCAATACAGTATATTTAGAGATATGTAGGGGGGGGGAAATCCCTGTTCACCAGGAATATATTTTAGACCGCACTTTCCATGTCTATAAATGTGAGCAGAGCTTAGTTAGCACACCTGGGGTCAGCCCAGAAAGACGTTTTATCGAGCTCCGGAACTATAAGTGTGACATTCAAATATCTTGCAATGGTAACCATATCACAAATCTGTCAAGCAAACCCCAAAACAAAACAACATAGCGTCAGTTTCCACATTGGATTATACAACAAAACAACTCATGAACTTACATAATCCAGAAAGAATTTCAAAGAATATATATAGTGCGATGTGATAGAGCACTCACAGCTGCTCGCATTTGATTGAGACCTCCATTACATGAAACCATCAAGTAACCATTGTTTTTATATATTCCTGATGTCAAAAAATTCATGTCAATTCGAATCCAAATTCCATAACCAAAAGAATATATACGCAAAAAAGTACCAATGATTCCTTAAACTTCAACTGAAAAACTAAAAACAAAAGATCCTCAACAAGACTAAAACTGAGACATACGATGTATGCACTTGGGAGCATAAAGTTTATATAAATCCAATCCGCGTAATTATATCGAATGAAATGCACTAGACTACTCGAGCGAAATTCCCACGAAAATCTTACAGTTTTTATTGCTTTCGTCTCCACAAATAAGAATTAGAGAAAATTAACAGTTTCCGTAGTTTCAGCTTTCCGAAACTAATATTTTTTTTAAGAAAAAGAAAGATTAAGAGCAGAGAAACTTACTTTTGGGAGGAAGTACACTAGCGGGAACGGAAGGGACTGCGTCTTCAATAACGGAGAAGGATGAATCCTGGTGACTGAAACAGGAAGGCCAGCCCTTAAGGACGCGTGGTCCCCACATCTCCCCTACGGCCGTTAATTGTACGATGCAAGTCCAAAGCAACACCGATGTGGTGGCGCGTATCATCCACAGCTTCATTCCCGAGCTCTTGAGCTTCTCCACTCTCTCCCCTCCGCCACCGCCGCCTTTCATTATCCCCGTTCTCATCCCTTCCTTCTTCCCTTTCCCTTCAACACTGCACATTTCCAGCACTAAACTCAATCTCCTCCCTCATCCACATCTCCCCACCCCCCACCCCGGGAAATCGGCCAATGTAGGTTGATTCTCATAAAATTCTCACCCAATTAACCACCTCCAAAGAACCAAAAGAATCCTTAAAAAATCAATCAAAGAGATCCGATTCCCCTCTTATCACAAACGAATCAACAAATTCCGATCTGGAAAATAAACAAACAGATTTTGGAAACCAAATGAATGATATCTCTCTTTAGCAGATCTAATCAGTTCCCCAGCGAGGAATTATCAAGCAGTGGCCGTTGCAACCCGAGCCTGCCTTCAAAGGTAAGCTCCATCAATGAGAGAGAATATAATATTTTTTATATTAAAAACAGAAAATGTAATGCTTTGGCTGGCTAATCATAAACGGTCCGGTTCGGTTAGGTTTACTAAGTTTATATATTTTTATATATAATTTTAAAATTAATATTATATTTGAGTTATCTCAGTTTTTAAATAGAAGATGATTAATTAAGGGTAAATTATATAAATGATCCTCTGATTATAAGAAACCATTTTTTTGAATTATATGACTATTAAAAGTTTTAAAATGATCCCCTAACTATAAGATATTACTTTGTTGAGTCCTCTGACTATTAAAGGTTATAAAATGATCACTCGACTATTCATATGTTCTAAACACGTCCTTTTTCGTTAAACATAGACGATCGTCTGAGCTAACATTAACTTGTTAACTGTGATATGAAAAAATGAGTATTTTAATGATTTTTTGGCATCGTTGTTACTTTTGAAACACTGACTCGACAACATAATGTTTTAAATATTAGTTTGATGGCATAATATAAGCAGATAATCGATCCAAAAAACATAACTCAAACAATTCTAGTATTATATTTTATCATATCCCAGTGAACATGTTAAAGTCTGGTTCAAAAGGTCGCCAATTTTTAACGAAAAATGATGAGTTTGGAACATATGGAATAGTTGAATGACTATTTATAACTTTTAATAGTCGAAGACTCAACAAAGCGGCATATTATAGTCGGAATTATTTATGTACTTTACCCACCAATTAATTAACGATATAATGATAAATTTATGGAGATGGTCGTGTTCCAAAATTTTTGGATTAATCGAATTCAATTAAAATGCTATTATATTATAACTAATAACTCAAATGAATTCTTATTTAATATAACTGTTGATCTCACTTATTTTTACTATTGTTTTAATTTAAGCCCATCACGAAGGATGCACAATCTAGTATGTTAGGACTAGTGTTTTGAAAATCAGACCGGTAGGTTTAATCGGGAATCGCTATTTTGTTCGGTCTATTCTATCCCGGTTGAACTGATTCTAGTGAATCGCAAGGAACCGCTTGAACCGGCTTTGAACTGCTCGAATCGGATCGAACCGTGAACCGGTTCAACCTAATTTTTATTATTTTTTATTAAATATTTTTAGTATTTTTATTTAATTTTTTAAATAATTATGACGTTGTTCGGTTCTTACGACGGTTCGACCGGTTGAACCAGTGAATCGGTAGCACGACCGGTTCGCTGACCGGTCCGGTTCTGAAAACCATGGTTAGGACGGACAGATGGATCGGTGGGTGTAGTCGTCTTCCATAAAAATTTAAAATTATTATATATTTTAATTTCTCATGTTTTTTATTAAAATTATGTTTCGTCAAATTTTATAAATTTAAGTTTATTCATTTTGAAATTTTACAAATTCAAATTCGTCTCTCAACATAAAATCATACGTCATCCCTACTTGTGACAATTCGATCTCGACATGAAGGGCGATACACTAGACCTTCTAGAGTGTGGATAACTCACAATCAAAATAATCAGTTGCAATGCAAAAGCTCAAACATTTATCCTTGCTTCCAGACTTGGAGTTAAAGTAAAACCGATCAATAAAAAAAAAGCTACCCTAAAATATGGTGGATCGTAAAATAATAATGTTTTGAGTGTTAATGTTTTGAAGTGAAAAGTTTGTAAAATGATTTACGAAAATCAGATGATAAGTCATTTTTTAGAAAATGCAAAGGAAATTCAGTTGACCGAAAAAATGAATTACATTTACACTATGTTTTCTGTCAACCAAACATCAGAAAATTAGAAAATATTTTTCGAAAAATCAATTACAAAGAAACAAACAAACCCATAAATGTAGTTGTTTAAATTTAAAATTCTAAAAACAAGGCTTAATACAAAAATATATCTAAATTATATCTCAATTTGACTTTTGGTACCTAAAGAATTATAATGTTTTATCCGCTACTGTTTTAGGTGCCCGGACGTTAACCAACCATTAAAAATTTCGTTAAGTAATATGTGTCACGATATGATAATTTTCAACAAATTATTTAAAAATAAAAATATTAAAAAATATTTTTATTTAAAAAAGCCCAAAATTTTTAGAAATATTAGAAAGACCCCAAAACTTTGAAAATCCTAATTTCAATCCTATAGCCACATCTGTTGTCGCTTTTTTCGTCGTTACCTTCGTCCGGGCCTACATCCGAATGCGCCTCTGCCCGATGAGCATTTACCCCCTAAACAACCACCCTAAAAGCACGCCATGACGATAAAATCGACGATAAGCCTGATGAATAATGAACTTTGAAAACGAATGAAATTCAAGATACACTACAACTCCGACGACGATATCAATAACAAGGCTGACATGGAAAGATAAGGGAGATGACAATGGCGTCATCGATGTCGTTAGCCGTGTTCGGTATGGTAGAAGGTAAAATTAGGGTTACGGATTTTAGGGTTTATCTTAAGGATTTGTAGGGGTTTGAGTTTTTTTTATTGAAATTTTAGAAAAATTATAATCTTTTAATATAATAATATTTTAAAATTTTTATTTTAAATAAAAAATTCTCTAAATTAACAAAAACATAACACGTGTTAATTAACAATATTTTTTAAAGACAATTACTGCACAGGCACCTAAAACGAAAACTGAAGAAATATTAAACATCAAATTTTAACATAAAATTCTTTAGAAATCAAAAAATTAATTTAGAGTATAATTCAAACGTTCTTAACCTTGAGGTCGTGGGATCGAGTCCTACGGAGGGTATTTCATAATTCAGAGGTCTTCTACGGAAACTACTCTCAACCTGGTGTTGGGGGCAGCCTACTATCTTACCTTCCCCTTACCCCATTACATATGGAACAAAGGACAACCATTATTTTACTTAGCAGCCGCATATATTTCTATATTTAATCGTCATTAAACTGTGAGTCTTTACCAAAGCACCCATAGATAGCTTAGTTTACTGCTAGACCACCAAAACCTTGGGCTAAACGCCAATGTCTATCCTCACTTGCTCGGCAATTTTGACCTACTATAGTAGGTAAGTTAATTATTTAGTCAAATAAGATATTATATATTTTATTTTGAGATTTATAATATTTTTTATTATGATTTGAAACTCATCACATAATAAATTTCTTAACATAATAAAACTTAATAAAAATTATATTTTATTAAAATTTACCATGTCGACGTGTAAGAGATAAAGACAAGTTCGTATGCAGTTCCAAAATTACCACTCCATAAGTCAATGTCCATGGCTTCTTGCCTTATCCTTAGTTTGTTAGAGAAAAAAAGAGGATAATTCTTTAATTTGACTTCCCTTACTGCATGTCTTCGTGTATCTATCTATGTCTGAAAATCCAAAAGTTTGACCAAAACAATAGCAAAGCTCCGGTTTTTAATATTTTTATCCTTTTCTTTTTCAAGTTTTGCGCTTTGGGTTTGCTTTGTTTGTTCATAAAAAGAAACCAAAACCAACACTTTCACTCTCCTTTTCTTAATATGTTTGAGTTGCCTGCTTCAGCAATCCAGCAATTGAGGCTCTTCAATAATAGTTACCTGCTTACCAGGTTCACTTCTTCACTTTCAATTTACTGAATATGCAGTAAACTATGGTAGTCGTGATGACTCTTTACATCATTTTATGGTAATTAATGGTTGTGTAAGGTGATATTTGACTTTGGTTTTGCTTGTTTGCTGCAAATTTTGGTTCTAACCTGTGTGCTGATTTTGAGGTTTGATTTTGTGATGATAGGGTTTGATAGAAATTAGGGTTTGGTGTAAAATGTTGGTTTTAAGCATGAATAACAAAAGACAAAGGCGGCCTAATGTTAGGTTGGGGGAGATAGGAGATGCATCTGCTGCTTTTGCATGTGGGTTTTCTCAAAACACTAGGGAAATTTTGGTTAAAAAAAGATGGAAACCTGATTTTCCCAACTCTCATGAACATGAACTTGCTTCTACGGTTGATTATTCTAAAGGGATGTCTTCAGGTTTCTTGAATTCCAACCCCGGAATCTCGACTTCGATATCAGCCGATTTGCAGCAGAACATAGGGAATAAGAACCCCAATTCGTCGAAATTGGGTTTTGATTTGATTACTGCCGGTGAAATCGACATGATGAAAGCTACTATAAGTTTTGGCACGGTAACGAGGAAGAGTAGGGTCATGAAGCGGCGAGGGCGGAGCCAGGAAGCCAATAATTCCGTGTTTCTTTGCAGTGCTTGGACTCAGAGTTCTGAAGTTAGCCCTGAATTTAGCAGTGATGAACGGAAGGAGTATGGTGAGGAGAAACAGTTTATGGGAATCAAATCAAATGATTGTGTGGATCATTACCTGGTTAATGACTTTCAGGACATATCGGATCATGATGCACCGGCTACCAGCAAAGATGCTTGTGAATACAATGGCGATGAAACCAGGTATGAAAGTTTGCAACAAGGAAATGCTGATGATTGTTGGAAGGATGATTGTTATCAAGGAGATAATGTGCTTCTTAGATCCAGTGACGATTGGGACCGAACAGGATACACATCTAATGACGGAACTAGTGTCAAAAGATGGTTGGAGGAGCTGAGGTTTGGTAGGTATGCCAGTATTTTCGAGATGCACGAGGTTGATGAGGAAGCCCTGCCTCTGCTTACTCTAGACGATCTCAAGGAGATGGGTGTATTTGCTGCTGGACATCGACGGAAATTGTACACCGCAATACAACAACTAAGAGAAGGCGATGTTTCTTCCTAAAAACTTTGAATAAATTGTAGGTAGTCCTTTTCTTTTTAGTACTTCGCTTCCTCTTTCGTGCAGGGAAAAAGTGTCAGACATGTTTGTAAACTCTCGGAGTTTCTGACATGGTTTTTTCCTGGCATTGTCAATGAAATAAGCTTTGCTGGGTCATACTTTTGTACATCTTATGGTAACTATGTATGTACATTATGTGAACTTAACGGTTGCTTTTGTTTCTGTTAAGTAACAACAGTATTGGGTCTAAATTAGAATGCAAGTTACGCGAAAATCTTAACGGCAGTGCTTTATTCTTTCGTAAGTGAGAGCTTTATTGATAGCCTTCTTTTCTATAGTTACCGGTGCATGTAGTTTGTGTACAAATGGTAACTTGCTTCTTATTTAGGCATATAATTCAGTTCGATAATCGTGCTTAAGTTTCCGCCTGTCTCATTATGAAGTATCAGTATGATTCTGCATAGCTTACATATAGTTCAGCGACGACCGGAATGGTATGAAACTGGTTCTGCTTGGCATCAATTCGTTCAAAGCTTAGGTACAATTTTTATGTTTAATGCTAGCCCCATTGTCACGACCTTTACTTCAAATATTGAACGAGACATTATATTTACTTTCGTAATCTGACTGAGACGTACCTAGTTTCTTAAGAACCGTATCTACGTGGTTTTGCTGCTTGTCCTTTCTTTAGAATATGCTTATGAATTGTCATAATTGCTAATTGTTTACAGCTTTGAGCATTTAGCATCTGCAGTTTAATCTTATATGGGTAGGTTTCCATGTTGTTGTTTTAGCTCTTTTCTGTACTATATTGTGCTTGATCTTGGAAGAAGGATACCTGTATTGTTTATTGCCTGGAAAGGTGTATGCGGAGATTTTACATGTCGGTTTGACATTGCGATCGTACCGCATTGTTAACCCTCGATCTTTTTCCTCAGGTAATGTGTTCCTTTACCATTCCATTGGTCCTTTTCTTTTCCTCTTTCCCTGTGTTCAAGTAGAGCCAATAAGGAGAAATGCTATGCTCTCATTAGGTATTTCCCTATGTTCTAACTTTTCATTCTTTTAAGTACTTCGAAACCCGTATTCGACCCATGTTCAGGAATGGGTACGAGAGTGTGACCTCCAATGACTTTCCATATGTATGAAAAAGCTTAGAACCGATACATACCTATGCCCGGCACGAGTATGAGTAATGTAGGTATTGCCCTATGTTCTAACTCATATATTCTTAAGAACCGTATCTACGTACATGTTGTTGTTTAATCTTATATGGGTAGGTTTCCATGTTGTTGTTTTAGCTCTTTTCTGTACTATATTGTGCTTGATCTTGGAAGAAGGATACCTGTATTGTTTATTGCCTGGAAAGGTGTTTGCGGAGATTTTACATGTCGGTTTGACAGTGCCTTTCCTCCGATCGTACCGCATTGTTAACCCTCGATCTTTTTCCTCAGGTAATGTGTTCCTTTACCATTCCATTGGTCCTTTTCTTTTCCTCTTTCCATGTGTTCAAGTAGAGCCAATAAGGAGAAATGCTATGCTCTCATTAGGTATTTCCCTATGTTCTAACTTTTCATTCTTTTAAGTACTTCGAAACCCGTATTCGACCCATGTTCAGGAATGGGTACGAGAGTGTGACCTCCAATGACTTTCCATATGTATGAAAAAGCTTAGAACCGATACATACCTATGCCCGGCACGAGTATGAGTAATGTAGGTGTCGGAACCGTCTTTCGGTTGGGCCCGGAATTGGGCTTCGACTTGAAAAATGTGGATTGGAGTTGCCACCAACCATTTTAAAACGAATTTAGGTAAGTCGGACACTATCTTACCTGATCTGCGTTTTATCAGAAGTGAATCGGGTTCGGGAGTCGGTTACGGTCAAGGAATGATTAGCACCCTTGAACCGCCCTTTCGGTACCAATTAATTTGCCGGTTGTCTTTAATTACGAAAATTAGAAAATTTAAATTGAAATTTAGAAATCCGATTCGAATTACTTACCTTTGATCGGTTGAAATTCTTCTAAAAGAAAAATCAAAAATGTTAGATAAAAAACAATAAACAAATATTAATTGAATCGAAAACAAAAATAGTAATAATAATAACAAGTCAAAAGGAAAAAAAAATTAATAAGTGACAAAGAAATAAACAGAAATAAGTCAAAGAGGAAAGAAAAATATGATAGATAAAAATAAAATTAAAAAAGGAAAAAGAAAAAAGAAAAAAAAGTAAAGTTTAATAGTAACAAAAAATATGAAGGAATAATAATAATAATGACAGCGATAAAATGCAGTAAGACGTAGGGGGACCAAATTAAAAAAAATAGAATTAACGGGCCAAATTGACATTAAAATGGACTGCAAAAAAATGAAAAAGTTAGGAGCCAATTCACAAAGATAAAAGAAATATAAACCGAGACCAAATTAATTGAATTGTAAATTCGGGGTCAAAATTTCAAATAGTGACCAAAATGAAAACTGGTCCAAAATACCAGGGACTGCGGAGAGGATTTAAAAATCCTCTATTTGCAAACCAATCCTTCGTAAAACGACGCCGTTTTGAATCTCGTATTTAAAGCCGAAAATAGGGTTTTGTTTTTTCATTTCTCTCATTTGGCCATTTTTCCTCTCTCTCTGCGCTCTCTCTCGTCTCTCAAACTCTCTCAAATGGGAGATATCAGGCCACAGCTCCGGTGGTCTCCCCATCGTGCCAACGCCGTGCCGGCCGCCGGTAGCGGCGGCCGTAGGAAACCCAAACCTACCAAAATAACTCCCTCAACGTCGTGCACCCGAATCTGAGCTCCAAATCTTTAAAACACACCCAAATAACCGTAGATCTACAAAAACCGTTCGGCACCTACCCTTCTCCGGCGACCTTTCCGCTTCCGATGGCCCTTCGTGGCTTAGATCGGGGCTGTCTGCTTTTGTTTTTGTTTTTTTGCTGTTGTTTTGGTTTATTTTGCGTTCTGGTTGTGTTTCGTTTGGACTTGTGTTTGGTTATGGCTCTCGGTGTACTATGGTTCTGTATGTGGTTGACATTTGGTGTAGATCTGTGTTCTCTGTTTTGTGTTGATGTTTGGTTCTTTGTGGTCGTGATTCTGCCGTTGGTTTTTGTGTTTCTCGGGGGTTCTCCCTTCTGTTGATGATGCTATTTGTGGGTGTTTGTGACCGATCTCCCGTGGCAGTGTTGATGCCTTGATTTTATAGGCTCCCGTTGGGGCCATTTCCGGTCGTGGTTGGAGTTGATCCCGGATATTCCGGGGTGGTTTTCGGTGATCTCGGATGGTTCAGTCTGAGTAGCTCCGATTTTGGTGCTGCACGTGGCCGGAATCCTCGGCTGACCGGTGACTTTAGATCTTCTGGAACCTTTGATCTCGACCGTTGGATTGGGTCAGATCCAACGGTCCAGATCTGACTGCACATTTGATGAAACTTTTAGGGCTTCAGAACCCTAGCTATCACGCGATTTGAGCCGTTGATCACTGCTCGATCTAACGGCTATAAGCCATGCGGCGCTGGGACTAAGTTGAGAAACCCTAGCTCAGAAACTGGGCTGGGTCAGGCCCGACTTGGCTCACTTGGACCCAAAAATGGACCTGGACAATTAAAATGAAAATAAAATTAATAAAAATAAATAAATAAAAATAAATAACAACGATAATAATAATAATATAAAATATTTTCTACAAACTATATAATATATATTTTCAAAAGTATTTTAAAATTATATATTATATATTTTTTTTTAAAAACACTTTCAAAATTATATAGTTTTCAAAAATGTTTTTAAAACTATATATTATAAGTTTTTAAAATGATTTCAAAACTATATAATATATATATGTTTTCAAAATGTTTCTTTTTAAAAATTATATTTATTTTAAAAATGTTTTTTAAAACCGTATAATATATATATTTTTAAAACGTTTTAAAAACTATATATTATATTTATTTTCAAAGTGTTTTAAAAACTATATAATATATAAATGTTTCAAATATGTTTTCAAAACTATATTATATATATGTATATAAAAAAATGAGACGAAAATGGGTGTCTACAGTAGGTATTGCCCTATGTTCTAACTCATATATTCTTTTAAGTACATTGACACCCATGTTCGACCCATGTTTAAAAATGGGTACGAGTGTGACCTCCAACGACTTTCCATATGTATGAAAAAGCTTAGAAAATTCGAACATACTCGTATGTACCGATACATGCCTATGCCCAGCACGAGTATGGGTAACGTAGGTATTGCCTTATGTTCTAACTCTATTTGAGTAACATAAGTATTGCCCTATGTTCTACTCTATTTGAGTAACATAAGTATTACCCTATGTTCTAACACTAAATTCTTTTTAAGTACATCGACACCCGTATTCAACCCATGTTTAGAAATGGGTACTGTGGCCTCCAACGACTTCCCATATGTACGAAAAAGCTTAGAAAATTCGAACATACTCTTATGTACCGATACATACCTATGCCTGGCACGAGTATGAGTAACATAGGTATTGCCCTATGTTCTAACTCTATATTGACATAGGTATTGCTCTTTGTTCCAACTATCTATTCTTTTAAGTACATCGACACCCGTATCCGACCCATGTTCAAAAATGGGTACGAGGGTATGACCTCCAATGACTTCCCAACTGTACAAAAAAGCTTGGAAAACTCGAACATACTCACATGTACCGATACATACCCATATTCGATATGAGTACGAGTAATACGGGTATTGCCAATTCATTGCTTTACTTGTGCTTTAGATTTTCGTAACCCGTTTTGCTTCTTAGACTCTTACAATGTTTGATCTTAGCTTCATCTCTCTCTTAATGTTTGATCTTAACTTCGTCCTTGTTCCGTACCATTATTATTACATTTTTCGTATAAAAATAAATACAAATAATGGGTACGTAAAATTCTTATATATTTTTTTAAGTACATTGACACCCATATTCGACCCATGTTCAGGAATGGGTACGAGAGTGTGACCTCCAATGACTTTCCATATGTATGAAAAAGCTTAGAACCGATACATACCTATGCCCGGCACGAGTATGAGTAATGTAGGTATTGCCCTATGTTCTAACTCATATATTCTTTTAAGTACATTGACACCCATGTTCGACCCATGTTTAAAAATGGGTACGAGTGTGACCTCCAACGACTTTCCATATGTATGAAAAAGCTTAGAAAATTCGAACATACTCGTATGTACCGATACATGCCTATGCCCAGCACGAGTATGGGTAACGTAGGTATTGCCTTATGTTCTAACTCTATTTGAGTAGCATAAGTATTGCCCTATGTTCTAACTC